ATCGGGACGGCGGAGAACTTGGTCCATGAAGCGTTGGAAATATTGCGCGGCATTTCGGAGACCGAATGACATACGGAGAAACTCGGACAAGCCAAAAGGGGTGGTCACTGCCGTTTTTGCAATATCATCCGGGGCTATGGGAATTTGTGATAAGCCCTGACAAGATCAATCTTAGAAAGATCAACTTTCCAGCCAATCCTAACGAAAAATCGTGTATATTTGGGATCGGGAACTGTGGCTTTATTCAGCGCACGATAGTCGCCACATGGGCGCCAATCACCGGTCTTTTTAATCACAAGATGCAGTGGAGATGACCAGCAACTGCTGGAAGGACGGATGATCCCAAGCTTGAGCATGTGCTCGAACTCTTCTTTAGCGGCCTGTGGTTTGTCAGGTGTAAGTCGTCATGGTTTCCCCGTCACGGGTGGACCAGTTGTGACGATGTGATGTTGCACATCGTGCTTGAGTTCTGTTGCGTCGTTATTTACTCCGACAAGTGATGGGAAGTTCTGCAACAATGCGGAATACTGCGAACGATCGGGCATAAGAACTCGAAGTCCGATGGAATTAACTGCAGTAAGCTTGCCGGAAGCAGTTAACATAATGGTATCATCACGTAACCCGACAGCGTAGATCTACTACAAGGTCAAATTTGCCAAGAAAATCGATACCGATGATAGGCTTCTGTATGTCGGCGATAGCAACAATGAAAGGAAAGCTGTGATGTAGTCCAGTACTGAGCGTGAGATGTTTCTGGTCATAGGTCGCGATCTTCGTTTGATTAGCAGCCTGTAGCGTCATTCCAGCCGGCTGTAACGAGCGTTTTTCCAAGGAACGGGGTATATCTCTTATCTCCGCACCGGTGTCAACCAAAAAGGGGGTTTGGTCGTGGAATCAAATATGTACATAGCGACTAATAATTTGATCAGCGTCAACCGCCGCCAGTACTGGTTGGCTTCGACGCTTCCCGATTTGGAATTAATGAAAGCCTTTGGGTGAGTACACCCTGGGCGGCAGTTTCGTGCGGAATTATCAAAGCGGTTATGGAAGTAGCAGTAAGAGCGCGATGCTCGTCTGCGGGAGTTGCTGCGAGGCCTGCTTATTGAAAAAGATCTTTGGTTTCGTATTCAACCGCGGCTAAGGTGAGCAATGCTCAGTTCCAACTTTGAGAGCCTCTCACTAATGGAGTAGAGTGTGGCATTCCCTGAAGTGATTGTAGTGGACGCCTCAACCACATGGTTTACAGCGTTTTTAAAGAAATGTTCGTGTACTTTGTCGGTTGCTTCCGCCAGCTTATTCAGTGGAATGTCCTCATCCAAAATAGCTAGTATAGTCGTCATATTTGCTGGAAGACACTTACTCCAGAGTTGGCGAAGAATGGAGTCATCTAAGGTTGATGAACCGACAAGTGATCGCATGTGTCGGAGAAGCTGAGACGGTGTACGATCACCAAGCTCGAGGCCAGAGAGTAGCTGTTTGAGGCGTGCCTCGTCAAATAAGGTAGTGCGTTTTAAGATAGCTGCTTCTTGTCATAAGGTGAGTCAGTCGGCATAGGGTCGAGGATATCAATGACGTCTGAAGCCATGTTGTAGGTAAGTGGGCAGTAACATATGAAATCATCGTAGACTGCGAGGTAATCTCACGGAAACGAAAGATGGATTCCAAACACGTGGGTTCGACACATCGAAGGATGGTAAAGAAAATGTAACGGAATTTTCAGCTAACTGTTCACAAAAGGGTTGATAAAACATAATGAAATAATAATGCTTAAAAAATACGGATCATCAATTAATGTATAGGTTTTTTCCCTAATGAATTCGAATGGGGGACAAAAGGCAATGTTAGGCAAAAACTCAAAATAGAAGGGAAATCAATACACTTACGTTATAGTTCCTCCTTCGGTCAATGTTATTGCAATGCCCACTAGAAATCCGAAGGTATAAATCCGACTAATGTTAAGGCGTGTCGGCAACACGAGCAGAGGCAGCAGCAAACGAAAGCAGCATGATGCGCGCGCGTAGAAATTGTTGTTTTCAAAATTTGTGAATTTAAACAACTGGTACAAAGCGATCGGTAACGGAAGTGCTAAAAACAAAGATAACATATCGTGTAACCACAACCACTACACACCTTGTCACTTATACGATGATAATACATTAACTTTCTGGATGCACAGCTCACGGATTGGTGCAGATTACCTGGGAAGAAAAATGTGAAGTCTGTGGTCAAGCAAACTGTGGCTGTGTTCCTGAACAAGACCGGTCCTGTGTCCACTATACCGCTTGTAGGGCAACACACAGTTATCTGAGACTGATATGCCACCCACAATTGCTGGAATCTCTAGCCAGACGTATTCAAAGACTGGCGCACGATGGGCTTGTCTGCACCATGACAACGCACCTGCGTATAGGTCACATGTCGTGGTAGATTTTCTGGCTGCAGAACCGATCCAGAAAGTTGGTCACCCACCCTACAGTCCACACCTTGCTCTGCTTGACTTCTGTGTTCCCAGATGTCAAGCATAAGATGCGTGGAATCTGCTACCAGTCTCCAGAAACTGCAGCAAAGGCCTTTACTGAGCTGCTTGAAGGGTTACCCACTTCGGCATGATCTAGCTGCTTCTCCAAATGATTTGAGCATGAACGCTGGTGGAGAGTACTTAGAGAAAATGTTATGCTTGTCTTGTTGTAAAAGAATTTGCGCATCCGGAAACTTATTGCGCAACCCTGAATGTTCATCGGATGCTTCGAAACACAGATTGCAACTGTCTCGTCTTCAGTTTTTAACTGAAGCCTTTTTGACCTCAATTTATGTTTCTCGCTTGGGCGAGACTCTGCAGCGCCTTAACTAAACGCTACAGACGTGCTCGGCTAGTTGTCTCAAACACGTGTCGGCTTTTCGATACAGTTTACCTCGTTCATGGTGCTTATGTGCATTTCGTGTGCGTTTTTTGATCCTAATATTTAGTGGTCCTAATTTCCCTTCTCCACCTTTGACTGTTACTGTAACCGCGAGTGGTTTCGAGACACTTGCACCTGCAATGGGACGATGAGTGGGTAACCCCGGGAAGCTTGCATGTGCAGTCACATGTGTTTCGGATCCCACGCCCGATCTCCAGCTTGTATATCCCCTGTGGATAGCTTTGTCTTTCTGGCTTTACTCTTCACTGCTTTTGGAGATTGTATGCACATAGTTACAGTGTGTATCACGAGCGCAATAGCTCAATATGTGTCAGCATCCGACTTATGGGTTATCGGTGTTTGCTATTTGCCTATCTGTGTGACTTTGGATGGGAGGCAAGTACCATTTGTTTGCAATGTGGAGGCTGCATTTTGACACATGCCCTACTAGGTATGCCTCCCTTATTCTAACGCTAACTCATTGGATTCGATATATGCGTCACAAAGGAACCTACGGAATTCTGCGCACTAGTCATGGTAATGTTTTCTCCTTAACAACCTAGATCCACTATGTTTTAATCTATGCTGTCATTGTTTGGTGGGAGGAAGTTCCCCTGTTAGGACAGCAATATTTTACCCTCGCATCAAACCACTTCCTGCGTCTGGCGCTCTCGCAATAGGCGATTGAAAGATTCTTATGATCCTTGACTTGGATCAAGCATATAGCCGCCTCGTTATCATTCTCATCGAGCACAACCCGATCCTACGGAGATAGGTGTAAGGCATCCAATAAAGTGCAGTTTAACTGAGAAACGAGGCACAGCGCTGACACCCAAACAACAATGATGTACAGCCGTGTTCTTATTTAGCCTACTGTCACTGCGCGCTTGATAGTCCTGGTCAGTGCCTTCATCACCACTACTGCTTCTACTACCGGCAGTAGTAGTGCTACGGCTTCAGTTGCATATAATGCTGATACACACAATATATAGCGCACTTTCTGCACCATGTGCAATGATGTTTTCGTCTCACGCTTGTACTATAGAAAATGACTTGTCGAGCTACATGCGTTCCGTAGCTCACGTCAGTTTCGTTTGGCGAACTGCTGTTCGAGCGCCCAATTGTATTGGATTCATTTGTCATATCTCATGCTACCTTTGATTAACAGCGATGGGAGAACAAAGATGAACCGGGCAAATAAATGTAGACTGTTGTTGGATAGGGAGACTATGAAATCGTTAAGTGAAATCGTTAAGTGCCGTACTCGAAGATCGGAGCAAAAGTGCATAATTGCCTTTGCAACTGAACCGCGTCTACTGAAATATCTAACAGCATGTGTGTCGAATCGCCATGCTCTTATTGAGGATGACAGCATGGTCCGACCTTGTCAGTCCGTTCGATCATCTACGCACCTTGTGCCGCGTCATCAGATGGTCGTCTCAGGACTGCATATCAGATGAGCGATAAACAACTTCACCTACGTAAACGTCTATTACTACAGACTGTCGTTTTGCTGTGCCGATTCACTGACGCTTGTTTTAAAATGTCATTTCGTTAGTCCCCTTGGTTGTTTGCAATTGTTGTTTTCGAGGGCTGATCGCAATTTCGCTCAGACGTTAACGTTATCGCTTTCTTTGTGTGCACCCGATTGATTCTTTAGTTGCTAGGTCGCGCGCTTTCGGCGCTCCGGTTGGTTTTTTAGTTACGCGTCATGCTTTGTAAACTGTGTCGTTTTCCCAAGGAATAGACCCTGAGTCCTGTTGTTGCTGATTCGTGTTCTAACGATCGTTATTGAGCGGAAGCAGTCGAGGGGCTCGTCACACTCCACTAGGCCGGTATGCACACGACTAACGGGATGTAACCAACATTGACGTTTCGCTAAAGCACCAGACAGCTTCGCACAATACCAACCACTTCTACTAATGGCTAGTTACCTTCTGTCCTCATCTACATTTTTCACCTGATGCGAATGTATCACTGACAAATTCACACTCCTTCACTCTAATTTCTCACTGAAAGTTCTGCGAGTGCCATTTTCCGTTGTTTGTGACTGCAATGCAGTTACTCACGAGTACTCAGATATTTAATTGCATCACTTAGCGATATCCAGCGGCATACGTTTTCAGGCGTTCCAGCCTCCTCGTGAACCCACAAAGGAGACTGTAAATAAATAACAAAACTTATTCTCAACGACTGTAACGGCGTGATCGGATAAGTGCCAACGTCTCACACCGTCGAAAATATCAGTAAAACAACTGCATGACAGTACCAATTGAGTTGATCGATCTTCCTCAGTTTCGTTGCCTTCCAGCGACAATCATCGCATGGAAGGACACATTTTCGTCTCATCTGTAACTAATTGTGAGAGTGAGCGCAGATATTCACGATCTTGTATTAGTTTCTTTTCTGTCTGGTTCTATCCATCTATGAATAATTCGCGTGTTTCTTTCGTTGACTTTTCTGCCGTACTACCGGGCCGAAACATCTTATAAGAAAACTGGGGCGGCAGCTCCAGTCTATGCGGTATGGTGTATGATGACCACAAGTCTGTACGAGTCGATATTTTTGGCGGGCCTCTGTAAAACAGGAAATTTGGAATAACGCCAGGCTTCGAAATATAGGAAGCACAGCTTACTTGTATTTTGAAATTCGTGGTATTTATTGTTCACCTTCACAACTAATGCAACGTAGTAAATATCAAACAGAACAATATTTCTTATCACTACATCCACCGCAGCTCGAATACAACTCGAGATTTCTTTTATGCTTCTGGAGCTTGTCTTGAATTCGTTGTTATCTTTGTGACCGTTTCTCATTCTTGCTATCTGCAGCGGGCTCTGTAGATGCCACATTAATATCGCTCTAAGAAACAGTTGAATTTCTATCAACTTGACTGGGTCTCTGAACTGTACCTAATCCACATGGCGGCTGTGAATATAGTACAAATCATCCAGTCCCAATACTTGAACCAAACGTCCTCCGAGATAGCTCACAACGGTTTCAAAGTTCGGTCAGAAATCATTGCCCAGTTCAAGCATGTATAACGAAGTGATCAGGATTTACACATTTTAGCAGTCCTCTCTCCAATGGTAGAATGAACACAATTACGGTTCTGGAGCAAGAGATTGCCATTAAGTTCATCTAATGTTGTTGGAGTACATGAGTGGTTGCACATTTCGGAGTAATAACAAAGTTTTCGGCCAAAACATTAGAGCATGAATGTTCGGGGACAGTACATAAGTGATCACATCCAAGACTATGGGACCAATTGATGATACATGATGCAGCGAAATGCGAAAGAGTATTATTTGTAGTTGCGTAAGGTGCACCTACACGAGTAAACATTTTATTTAATGTACGAGTAGTAAAATCCGCATTCGCTGTGTCCGTAATGAATACTCCGTGCCACCTCAAATAAGTCAGTTAATATCAGCGTAAGCCTGGCTCGTTGAACAACCTTTTCATGGTGACACCTAGGTGGTTCGGGTTTATCTCATTCCAGTAAACTGTCCTGCAGCAGTGTTTTGGGTGTGGTCGGTTTTTGCCTGTTAGGCATTCTCCACTCAAAGAGTCCCATACGTCCGTTTGACAACGTTGTGACTTGGTGGATGTGATGTTACACTGAATAAAGTCACTGGCTCCCACTTCACTCTGGTACAGCATTGTATTCCAGCAGCGTGATGGTGTAATTGTGGCGTGGATTGGGCCTCTGGTAATCGACCCAACAAAAAGCATATAAACTGAGTACTCCTTTATAGGCTCCCAACGGGCACGATTCCCAGATTTCGCCCCTCTGCATTTCGAGTAAGCTATTAAGCGAGAGGCTCGAAGTGGTATCCCTTAAGTCGACTCCCTACTTCAGCCCGGGCAACCGAGTGGTACCGTGCGCTCTGCAGAAATTATGGATTTCTCTGTTGTTTCCCTTTTCGACCACTGTACCTTCCTCTGATTTCCGTCTTTTTAATGGATCCGTGTCTATCTGTAGACTACTGAAATATAATAATTATCTGCTTTAAATATTTTTGGAAGAAAGGCCCACAGTAATTAGTGTGAACACGTTGCCAAGCTTCACATGCCACTGGCCTGAGAGTGCATCTGGAAGATTGACTTCTCGCCTAGTGCCAATAGCTTCCATATCCTGAGGCAGTCTATCGAACATCAGTATCAATCTCAGGCCATAGACTTCCTCATTTCAATGCCCGAATGTCCAGAACTGCGGATCGCAAAAGCAGAGGAATCTGTAGTTCTCCAAAAGACAACTTATATTTTAGGTACAATTTTATAACTGATCGATCGTACACTATTCGTTTTGGTCTTACTGTTTCCCATCATCTGTCCATATCCTCTAACACTCGTTTGATGGATGAGTTACTGCACTGACGATCACTCATTTTCGCTTCCTGCGTCCCCCGCCCCTTTTTTAGCCCCTCGCCGCTGTGTTCAACTTCATTTGATTTCTCATATTTGTACTCGATGTACAGTATCCACGTCCTATATATTACAGTGCCATCATTGATACACCTCTAGAGTAACACATAACTCACAGCGACATTTATAAAACTGAGCACATTTCCGCTTTTCCAAAGGCCACCAGCCCGGCTTTAAAGCTGGTAGTATCGGGCCAATGCACTTCCTCGTTTCAGTAACAAGTTGCAGGGGAAATGGAGATTGGTTGTACGAGTAAAGAACCAGCTTGAAAGGAGTAGATGTGTCGTAAAAGCGAATCTACATTATTAGACTTTGACACTCCTGTGTTTTATTTCATAATCATAAACACCGAGTGCACTACTCCACCTTTGAACCATTGCAGCAGAAGATTTCCCCAAGCTTGATGGATCGTGTATATATGCTTCAGGGCACCATGGTCAGTTATTATGGCATACCTTAATCCAAGCAAATATTTGTTTACATTTGAGTCACAGCCTCATACACACCCGAAGTTTCATGATACGTCTGCATGTATCCCTATCTTAGTCTGACTGAGCCTGTGAGTCATGCGAAAACTGGGAGTCGTTCTTGATTCAATACAGCACTGACGCCACCAAGCTAAGCATCAGTAATGAGAACGGCGAATTTCAGGCAAATATGATCGAGAAATTCGTTCAGGCTTGAGCGAGCGCAGTAGCTTTCACAGCACTGTTTCGTATTTTCCGAATCATACGAAACTTTTGGAGTAAACATACAAACTATACGATCAACAATTGAGGCAAAGTTTCAGATAAACTTCGAGTGGCATTGCAGGGTTAATGGAACGGCCAAATCACCGTCGTTGAGCCAAGACCATCCCAACTTACGGTGCTATTTATGAAACAATAATAATATACAAGGCAAAATCCTAATTGTTTGTGATCCTGGGTCAACAGCAAGCAACACCGGATTAGCGGTTAAACAGCCAGGGAACGCAAAACCGTCAACCTCGGGAGGAGTGACGACTCACTAATAAGTAGTAATCGCCTCTGAAGTTTACATGCCACTTCGAATGGTGGCGGCTTGCAAAGATTCTCGTTGCCCTTTGACCCAACCCTGCCCTATGCGCGTTCATATCATGCATGACAGTGGAAGAGGAGTCGGGCTATATCGCAGTTAGATATTAGTCATGGCCGTCCGCCGCCGTCGCCCATGGCCTGGTGACACAAGTCGCTGACTCGGAAGAGTAAGGTCATGGGTTCGAATCCGTCAGGACCAGGCGGGTGCGCTTTACTAACTTGTCCCAATACGAAGGATCGGCCAACTAGCGCTTTATTGGATGTGTGCTAGCTGTCTGGCTGAATCTATAGCTGCGACGGATCTCCTCAAAAACAAATGAGACATGTGCGCACTCACGCGATGCACACCGGTGAGTGTGGACAGGGTTCACAGTGAACGGTCAAGGTCGCTCGGTGTATGTGGAGTCAGGATTAGTGACACAAGGGACGAGGTGGAGGCATGCAAGCACGCATTGAAAGTGAAGGTGGAGCAGACACGCATGTGCACATATATACGGCGAATGTGGTGTGGTATCACAAGTCAGTAGAGGAGTAAAGCGAATTAGTGCTGAGCCAAGAGAATTGCATACATACTACAAAGTACGCTACAGTTTCCATCAACGAACTTGATTCATGAACGTTCATTGGCAATTTCACCTCAACCATTGGTTTAAGACGATCGACGACGTCAGGGCTGAATCCGGGGGATGTAGTATGGTAACCCAGACAACTGCTTGCTCTAACACGGATCACACATTCACTTCGCATTGACAGCTTCAAATCGCTATAATAGCGCTGATAGATCAGAACCATGAGCGAATTTCTCAGTAGCAAGCTTAATCACACCGTTTTGATGAACTTCAACACCCACACCAATCGCAAGTTGATTCGCCACATCCTGGACGATCGTTGTAGACACTGTCCCAAGGGAAAGATATGACAGAAACCGAAAGGCGTACTAATACTCACTTGTTGGGTTATTCAACGATCGGGATCTGTAAATAAGCATCCTCTCATTCCAGCTTCAAAAAAGCTTTAGAATCATGTAGACGGGAAAGAATGATTCTGGTCCCTCTCTATAGTAGCTACGCTGACGCACTTAAGAGTGTTCCGGTCGTAACCACCTACTCTGGGTGGCTGACCACCTGACTTCAGTACATTGACGATGAGTGTGTCCATCGGGAGCTCTACACGAGCACTACTGCTCCTTTCTTACGCATGGCTTAAAACCTTTCGCACTGGCTCCTTTAGTCCAAATAATAGAATTCAGCATCTATGAAATACTGTATCTCTAACAACTTCAATATCTGGCTGGCGGAATCTTCATACCACCAGACGCTATGGAGCAATCTCGAATCAACAGGCACTAAAATGATGACACTTGATTTTAGTGCCTGCATAACTTTTAACCTAAGAGTAAGTGTCTCTCGACCTGTGACAACAATGAGCACTGATTTATCGCGAACAAACTAGCAGTTGCATGACATGTCCCGTATCTGGCTGATGACAACAATACTTCTGTTGTTATACCGCGGCACATAAATGAATCTACTCAGGAGGTTAAGATCTAGGCCTCATCAACCACATCTAGAGTAATGGACGGAATTCAAAATAAGCATTATTTATCCGACTGGGCACATTTTCAGCACTTTTTACACTAGAACTGCGGATAAAAATAATTGGATACGAAAAACTACTTAAAAGGAC